TATATATATATATATATATATATATATTTGTTTGCATTTTTGTAAACTTCTTATATGATGAAAATAGTTGAAAAAATACTTATATTTTTTGTTTTTCTTTTTTTCAACTATTATATTTTCTTTTCCTTTTAATAATTTATGATTTTTTTAAATTAAATTGGATCGTATCATATTTGAATATCTAACATCTTGATTAGATTTAGATTCGAATCAATATTTATGAGATCCGATAAGATCTTCAGGTCGAATCAAATTTAATCCTTACCATTTGACATAGTTAGTGGAGTAATGTATTAGACATTAACGCTCTTTATTTTTATCCTAATTTTTATCCCATTTCTATCATTAATGAAAATAGTTCTAATTAATCACACTTTTTTATATGATCAATATATAATATTATTGAATGTACCCAAAATTATCTACAAATTTATACATTTTCTAGAATTTTATGTATTTTATTATTTAATAATATCATGTGTTGATCCATTTGACATGGATAGTTGAACCACTAACACACCACTTGGATGGAAAAACCATTTTTTCTTTTTTAGTTGATTTTAAATCATGTATTACATTTTCATCATCAATAAAAGTAATTTTTGTTTTCGGATTTATTTTTGCACGTGGTAGTATCAAATGATGATGGTGATAATAATCAACAACCAATGACCTTACTGGTTTCATTTCTAGGTTTATTTTAAAAATATAAAATATAATTCTATTAATAATTATTGTGTATGGATTTATCAATGGAATTTAATGATGATAAACAAAAGTATTTTTTTATATTTCTAAATTTGTATTATTTATTTATGACATCATGAATATCATTGACAAAATAATTATTGTTTATCATACATATTTTTGTATATATTATTAGTATATAATATTATAAATGTGCCCAAGATTGTTTCATACTTTTTGTACTATTCTATTTTAAAAAAATTATTTTTAATTATACATCATGGGTTAATTTATTTGACTTGAAAGGTTGAACCAATAACCCACCCCCTAGATAGGAAGATGGTTTAATTTCCTATCGGTTTTAAGTTGTATATTTGATGTCCATCAGTAATAAAATTATTTCTATTTTGTCATGCTTATTTTTTAATATGACAAATATATAATAATAGAAATGTGTCCAATTTCTTTTCAATTTTTTTTCTATAATTTTTGTATTTTTTATATTTCTAAATTTGTATTGTTTATTTATGACATCATGAAATTATCCATTTGACCCAAATGGTTGAAGTACTTACCCATGACCTAGATGGAAAATATGATTTCATTTCTAGGTTTATTTTAAAAATATAAAATTTCATTTTATTAATTATTGTGTATGGATTTATTAGTGGAATTTAATAATGATAAATAAAAGTATTTTTATATTTTTAAATTTGTATTATTTATTTATRACATCATGAAATTATCCATTTGATCCAAATGGTTGAACTACTTACCCACCACCTAGATGAAAAATATGATTTCATTTCTATATTTTATTTTATAAATTTAAAATTATATTCTATTAATAATTATTGTGTATGGATTTATTAATGAAATTTAATGATGATAAACAAAAGTATAAATGTTGGATTCAAAGAGAATGTTATTTATTTAATGACTTAAATGTGAGATTTAATGAGAGGTAATTGAATGTACTTAATGCTATTATTTTAATTACATTTTCTACCTTTTCAATAGAGATGAACTACATTCAAGAGGAGAGATATTTTAGTAAAAAAAAAATTCGAGAAGCCAATACCTCTAGGTTTATAGTTGTTTTGACATTAAAGTTAATACTATTAATCGTTGAGTAAGGGTACGTGTAAATATCGACTGAATGCATTTCAAAACAAAAAAAGTATCAACCAATGAAACCGTTGCCTGCGGGACCATAAAAGCTAAATCGTGAAGTTTCGACCGTTGGATTCTTTCCCATTGCTAAGATCAGTCTTGCATCACCCAGTGTGGGACCCAGGCTGTTTTTGCGTCAAGAGTTTGTGCCATTTCTCCAAAGAAGAGGGGCATAATTGAAAATCGGTAAATGAAACGTATTTGAAGGCTAGGAGGGGTCTTGTTTGTCGTTGGTTGGCGGTTACCTGTTTGTTTCTCTCCCTCTATCCTCTCTTCCTATTAAACCAAATCAGAAAATGCGTCTCTGTTTTCTCTTCTCTGTTTTAGCTGATTCAGATTCAGATCTGTTCGTCTCTGTGAGCTAGAGAGGGAGAGAAAGATCAGAAAGGAGAACCTATGGCGGTTGTCTCTCCTCTCGCCAAATACAAGCTCGTTTTCCTGGGCGACCAATCCGTTGGGAAAACCAGCATTATCACCCGTTTCATGTACGACAAGTTTGACACTACATATCAGGTATTTACGAATTACGAGTTTTATCTGTTAATATTCTATGAATTTGCTGATCTGTCGTATTCCCGATTGTATAGACTATCCTGGTCTATCAATTTGTTCTTTCTTCATTAAATTTGTTTGGATTTATCGTCTTTAACTGCTTTTTGATTGTTGAAAACTGAATTTTTGGTATTTTTTAGGAAATGGGGTGTTTTCGTTTTAAGATTTCAATTTTGCTTTTTCGTTTAATCATTTAAATACTGTGGATTTGATTGTGCGCATGCTGTCCTTGCATGTATATAGATTAAAACATTGCATGTGGATAGATTGGAAAACTACGCCTTCTGGCTTAATATGAGATATGGCAAATCACCTGTAAAAGAAAAGCTCTCTGACCAGAAAAGAAAAATAAAGCACTTGAAAAGAGATTAGAGGTTCATCCATTAAAACCGTTTGAAACGTAATTTTCTTGAAACCGGTTGATCTTTTATTTATTTTTTTTAACATGACGGATAATGTGGTAAAGTTTTGCTTGGATATGAGTTCTCCAAGTATGTGATTTACTTTCCTGCAGATCTAATAGAGTTGGTATCTATTTGTTTGTTTCTTCATATAATGGACGTGATATTTTTCAGACTGAAATATTTCAGTTCTTATTTCTGCCCCTTTTACATGGAAAACTTTTTTCCACCCTTCTAATTTGTTTTATTGTAAATGGCAAAGAAAGCAAAGTTTCACCATTAAATGGGCAAAAACGTGGATCAAATATTTCAGCCTAAAAAGATTCTGTCCGTTTTACATTGAAACAAAAAGAGCCTTAATATAAAAACTTTATATATCAAACTATCAACTTAGTAATATAACCTAGGATCAGAAAATGTGGTTTCTGATTGTTCAAATGCCCGACTCAGAAAATGTGCTTAGTTTTATTCATGTTCTGAAATAACATGCACAATTTGAAAATTCAACACTATCAAGTGTACTACCTGATATTTTTTCAAATGCTTTCAGTACTTGGATCAGTACTTCCCCTGTAAAATTCAACAATTTACAAAGCAGATAATCCCTCCTGGATGATTTATAATTTACACTATTTTTCTATGTGACTTTCAGGCCACAATTGGCATTGATTTTCTGTCCAAGACAATGTACCTTGAAGACAGAACAGTTCGTTTGCAACTTTGGTATGCCTTCTTCATTTTCTGGTTAGCCTATCCCAACGACTTGTGTGCTTAATAATTTTGTCACAGCCAATTTTTCTAAGTTGCATTAGTGTATCTATGATACATGAAAGCAAAATGGTTGTTTTCTTTATAAAGGTAGCATGAAGTGAATTGCATGTGAAGAACAGGAGGAACATGAAGATATGTCTAGCTAAATGCAGGAATGCAAAAAATCAGTTGAAAAATGAGCATTATTGTTTCTCCACGGCTAATCCAAAAACTTTTCAAGTGTGTATTGACCCTTATAGAGGAGATTCCATTACTTGCTTTCTTCCATTAAGGCTTGATCAAAAGTTGCTTCATATTTTTGTCATCATCATCATCATCATCCAAGCCTGGTCCCAACTATATGGCATTGGCTATATGAATCCTGTTTCACCGATCACTCAATCAGTTCTATTTAATGCCATATCTATTGTTATATTGGCACTTAAATCATTTTTTACTACTCCTACCCATGTCCTTTTTGGTCTGCCTCTAGCCCTTCTAGTCCCTTCAACTTGCAACAAACTACTCCTTACTTGTGCTGTTGATGGTCTTCTATTAACATGACCAAACCATAGTCTACTTTTCCTCATTTTATCACCTGTTGGAGCTACACCTAGGCTCCTTGAATAACTTCATTTTTTATCCTATCCTTTCTAGTTTTCTACTAATCCATCTCAGCATACACAGTTTTGTCAGACTCATTTTTGGACATTGTTTCTTGACTGCCCAACTGCTCCATACAACATAATTGGCCTTACAACTGTTTTATAGAATTTTCCTTTTAATCTAAGTGGTATTTACCTATCACATAAAACTCAGGATGCACCCCTTCATTTTGTCCATCCTACTCTAATTCTATGAGTGACACCCTCCAATTCCTCCTCAATCTCTCCCTTGTTATGAATTACCTAGGTACTGAAGGTCATAAGTTCACCTTGATTTGCACTCTTATTATTAAACTTGAGTATCATATATTTTGTTTTAATCTTACTTATTTTAAAACCTCTTGTTCCTAAAATATTTGTCCATAAGCTTAACTTTGCATTTAATCATTAATTAGTTTCATCATCATCATCCAAGCCTTACTATATGGGGTTGAGTACATGAATCCTGTTTCATCAATCTGTTCTGTTTAATGCTATATCCATTGTTAAATTATTGGAACTTTAAAATCATTTCTTCCACTTCTCTTCCTATGGCCTTTTCGGTCTACCCCGTGCCCTTCTATCCCCTTAAAATCATTTCTTCCACTTCGTCTTGCGGGAGTTGTTGATGGTCTTCTATGCACATGACCAAACCATCTTAGTCTACTTTCTCTCATTTTATCACCTATCCTCCTAAGTTCCTATGAATGACTTCATTTCTAATCCTATCCTTTCTAGTTTTTTCCACCCATCCATCTTAGCATACACATTTCTGCCACACTCATTTTTTGGATATGTTTCCTAGCTCCCCAACACTTTGCTGTTTTATAGGATTTTCCTTTTAATCTAAGTGGTATTCCTATCACATAAAACTCTAGATGCACCCCTCCATTTTGCCCATCATGCTCTAATTCTATGGGTGACATCCTCCTCAATCTCTCCCTTGTTATGAATTATTGAATCAAGGTACCGGAAAACGGTCCAGATAATTGGACATTTCAGTGTTATTCTGTACCTGCTTGTGTTTGCATCTAGGTTCTTTAGTCTTACCTTGTTCTTTCTTTGTTTTACAGCTCATGAATAAATATAGGCAACTGGAACAGTTCTGTCCTATAGAAATATCCAGTAGAGTTTGGATTAGATCTATATTTTTTTTCAAATACAAACATTTTTTCTTAAGTTGCCAAAGAAATGATTTTGTAGTGTAGGTTCAATGGTAGGGAGTGGACAAAACATCAAAGTGGTTAATAGATATATGATAGGGCAGTGTCGTATGGACACACACATGGGATCAGAATCTAAGAGTCTGATTCGGAAAGATGAGAAAACAGGGTTCTTGGACATGTCTATGGAAAGGTATATTATTAAAATAATTAATATATTTTGATTTCTAACATTAGATACCTACAAAAATGTTACATTGTTACTAAGTGACATTTGATATAAAAAATGGACTCATCCTGTAGATTAGCTGTTCATTTATGTTGAATAAGCTAGGAGATAAGAAAAGAAATGTTATGTATAAGTTACCTCAAGAATCCATGGAATGTTGGACTCGAATGTGTGTCTGGCATGAAACATCATCCATTCAGGAGAGTCATGCAACACTGACTTTGGATTATAGATAATTTGTAACAACCATTGTCCTCAAAGGTAAGTCATTAGTTGGAAGTCTAAAAGGAAAATTTGTTATTCCTGACTATATGTTGAGGTGAAGTAATGAAGCAGTCTAAGCATCCTTGTTAGTTTTCATGGGGTGTGAGGGTCCTCAGTTGTAGAAAGAAATAAACCCCAACAGTTTGGAAGGATAACTTCAAAAGCACACAAAAGTATAGGAAAAAGTGATCATTGTTAGATAAAGTAAATATTCAGAAATAGGCTTTGGGACTTACTGAACATAATTATCTCATTTAAAAAATAAAGGATAAACTAAACGTATTTTAAAGTAATCAGCAAAGAGAAGAAATTATTTTTTGAATGTGGCAATTGAAAGACAGTATTCGTGATGTCTGATCTGACAGACACAAGGCTAGTCCTGCATCAATAAAGAAATTCTAAGAGACATAATATGCTAATCAGTATTTATTATTATCTGAATTTTGTAGCACATATAATCAAGAAAATAAGAGAACTAAAAGAAGTTGCTGAAGTATTTATCTATTTATGTATATTTTTAAGGGCTTTCCTTTTTCTTATGTATATTTGATTCAATATAGTTTTTCTTATAATAATTAATTAGATGATATTTCTTGATCCATACATGAGGTCAAACGTCAGTTTTCTCAATATTGATACTTTGATCCAGTAATTCTGAATCTTCATCAAATTCTCTCCTTAAAACTAGTGATACACATCTGCATATGAATTTTCTGGTTGCACATAAGATGGGCTTTTCTTTGCTGTCTAATTCTTTCATCTGATATACATCCTTGCCTTTCACATATTGATACTACTCCAGTTTTCTAAAATTTGGTATCTTAAATTTTCAGGGATACTGCTGGACAGGAGAGATTTAGGAGTCTCATTCCAAGCTACATTAGAGACTCTTCTGTTGCAGTAGTTGTATATGATGTAGCTAGTGAGTAGTAAATTTCCCACCAAAAAAAGCTAGTGAGTAGTAGTTCTACTGGAAACGATCGTAGCTGTTTCTTTTTTCAGAAAAAAAATGTGTAACTTATTTTTCTTGAATTTGTTATCAATTTCAAATGTCCCAAACAAACTTAAGGAAAATAGGGAAAGGCGAAGTCTGATGCAAAATAGGGATTTTAACATAATCATCATGGATCATGCACTTCACCTATAGCTAATTGTTCACCTGTCAACTTGTCAAACAAAGTTTTTAAATTGTGCCAGAGGTTCCCTTGGGTATTCTCTGTAGAAAAGACATAAATTATTGAATTAAGAATATTAATAATGGATATATAGAAGATGGGTAAATCCCTTACACCTTCCCTGGGTTTTCTTCTGGAAAGGCCTTAAACCTCAGCTCAATGTTGACCTGTCCTTAAACCTCTCCCAACTTTTGGGATAAAAGGACTTACAGACCCCTTCTGTTACTTTTAACCGGACAGAGACATTAGTAGATTTTTCCTAATTCTAGCTTTACAGAGACATTTTTTACTCCTAATTCTAGCTTTCATTTTGTTTACTCTTAAACTGTTAATACGGGAGGTTTAAGGGTATTTTATTTTTTTGGTTGAAGATTTGAGGTTATTTTTTATTAAATGTTTAAGGGTATTTCAGTTATCGAACATTGGATGATTTTACATAAGGGAAAAATTGGCATTATAATATGTTTAGATCCATGACATCAGCAGCTGCTGTTAGATTTCTAACAGTAGAGTAACAGAAGGGTGTATAAGTCCCTTTATCGCCAAAAGTCGGGGGAGGTTTAAGGGCAGCTCAAAGTTGAGGGGAGGTTTAAGGCCTTTTCAGAAAACCCAGGGAAGGTGTAAGGGATTTAACCTATAGAAGTTAATTAAAAAAATTATAGTTTCCTCTTTCTCTTTCTGATAAAAATAGTAAATAAAATAATTCATGTGGTCATAATTTTCCCCCTTTTGGCAGGAACTACCTAGGATCAGATGGATTATGATTCATGAGTCATGACCAGATTCATTAAAATTGAAGAAAAAATACATTTTTCTCTTCAAAAAGAATACAGCCCTGGCCCCAAATAGCTCAGTTAGTTTCTATGTAGGTTATCCTAATGATGCATGTAGGTGCTGAGATTATTCCAATACTTAATGGAGCATTTATGCATCCATAGTACAAAGTCATTGTGTTCTATAAATATACTATATAATTATTTCCTTGTAAGTTTGCTTTATCACAAAGTTTCATCCATATTTTGTCAAATCAGTAAAAATTGTAATATTTAGAACTTTATTCTGAAGTTTGTGTTTATCTAACATAATGCAGATCGACAATCATTTTTGAATACTTCCAAGTGGATTGAGGAAGTACGCACAGAACGAGGAAGTGATGTCATCATTGTTCTTGTTGGGAACAAAACTGATCTTGTTGATAAACGGTAGGTTTTAGATTAACCTTTTAATGTACATGCATGGTTATGATCTGTATATTCTTCGTTCTTGTTGGCTGAGTTTGGTCATGTAAATCTTATAATTGTATCTCATTCCTGTGTTTTTCTAAGATACATGACTTTAGACCTGTTATTTTGCTTTCTATCTTGTAAGGGCATGGGAACCATCAAGAAAATTTTTGTAGAAGGGGTAGATTTTTTCCTATAAATCTATAGACACTTCAGTATCTTGATGCTATAATGGAGATTCAGCCTTGCCAAGAAAATGCACAAATCTGAGACAATATTTTCCATAATGCATATAAACCAGGATGTGATCATTATGAAATTTTAATAATTTATCTAAGACAGAATGTCAACTACACAAGAAACTCAAAAGTATTCTTATATCAACAATCCAACCATAATTTTAAGTCTTCATTATTTTTGTGTGAACTGATGGAAAACAATATAATCTAAGGAATCGGTGGGCCTGGAAAGACTAATATTGATAATATCAGTCACCTGGTGGTTTTGAACAGAACAATATTGTGGAAGTCCAGTTAAAGAGATTGTCTCATTTGAATGTCACTCTGGACTTAAAGAGCTAATTTTTCAAAAGGAAAAAAAGAAATTGGTTTCTTAACTTGCAGTACCCCATGTGCATATAGAATGATTTCCATTTCAAAATGGTTCTGACAAGTGACAATTTCTTTATGGAAACAAAACAGGCAAGTTTCAATAGAGGAGGGAGATGCCAAGTCCCGTGACTTTGGAGTTATGTTCATAGAAACCAGTGCAAAAGCAGGATTCAATATCAAGGTGCAGAGACCCTTCTTTTTTTTTCTTGGCTACTGCAAGTATTTTTCCCCCTTCTGAATTAAGATGCAAATAATGACAAATGAGCCAATTTTTATACCTGTGTGGCTTTGTCATACATATGACTGATGCAGTATGTTTTTGCTATGTTCCCTTAAGAGATATCCAGGCCAAAATTGACCTGATTTACCTAGCTATGATTTATTCCCTATTTTTAACAACTTTCAGAATAATATGATATAATTCCATAGAACAGTTTACAAAACCATCATCATCATCATCTAAGCCTTGTCCCAATTAAATGGGGTCGTCTACATCAATCTTGTTTTGCCATTCCATTCTGTTTAGAACAATTTATAAAATAGTTTGCTAAAATCATTTGATTTGATAGTCAACCTTTGGATGTAAATGTTTACTAGTTATAGGACAAACAACCTTGGATTCCATTTCTCCGTATATTTGTTTTATGATATGTACAGCACATACATGGATGAATGCTCCTAGAGATCCTGTCTTCCTCACTCATGCTTTCTTTTTTTTTTTTTTTTTTTCCTCACGTGAAAATAATTGTTGCAGCCACTATTCCGTAAAATTGCAGCTGCCTTGCCAGGGATGGAGACCCTCTCCTCGACAAAACATGAAGATATGGTTGATGTGAACTTAAAGCCCACTGTCAATTCATCCCAATCAGAGCAGCAAGGAGGAGGCTGTTCATGCTAGAGTACAATATGATGACAAATTTCCATTCATCAATACCTTATGCGAGAGTTGCAGATAGGATAATTTTGAGATTAGTTAATCCCGAACTACATGAGATTTTGGCGGATTTGATGCTTCTGGAGAAGTAGTTTCCTAGTTGGCCAATTTAACATTAGGCTGTTAATAGTCCCTAGTATCTACAGTATCTGAGGTTATCATTGATGTACTGTTCCAAGATGCTTAAGATATTAGCGGCTGAAGATGTGATTGGCTGATTGTTTTTTTTTTTTTTAATTTGTATTATTAGAGCTTTTTGTATTTCTTTGTTGTTTCAGTTTTTAGTTTGATTTTTTTTTTGATAGAACAATTCTACTTGGTAATTTTCCCTTTATATATTTATTTGAAGCGGAAGATTTCTATTTCCTTTGTTTCCTTTTTTTTTTATATATATATGTAGAAATATTTAGGGCCCTAGAAGTTTTCACTTTTCACACCAAGCCTCTTTTCCCATCGAATTTGGAATTGTTAATTTGCTATACATGCTCCCCACTTCTGTGAGGCTTCAGGGCACGCAGAGATACTTCATGAAGGATGAAGCAGAGTTTTTTTTTCTCTTCTGTTCATTATTAATACCGCGTTTTCCCTCGTCGTTGGCTTCGTTTGGAGATCTGAAAAAATTATAACCAGTTAAAGCATTCCACAATCAGAATCAGATCGATTTGTAGACTTGCCAGTAGAGGTGTCAATGGACCAGTTTTGGATTGGATCCCTCCAAACCAAAATCAATTTGGGCGGATTGGATGGACCAACAAGACGTATTGAATTGGACCAATCCAAACTTAATGGTCCAAAGTATTTATTGGATTGGATTGGACCTGGTCCATCTGTAATGAATTTATATTGAATTGGGTTGGATTGAGTCAATATCTGATCCATTGATAGAAGATAGGAATATAGATGTCAATGGACCAGGTTTGAATTATAATTAATCTAAATTAAAATAAATTTGAACAGATTGGATGGTGCAGACATTGAATTAGACTGGTCCAAAATAATCATTGGATTGGACTGGACCTGATCCGTTTGTAATGAATTTACATGGACAGGATCGGATTGGACCAAATCCAGTCCAATTGACACCCCTACTTGCCAATGCCCAGATTTGATGCACCATTCCACAACTGGAATGATGGGGTCTATGTTCAATATGAAAATCCCTAGAACGTGGCGTGATGTATGTCAAGTTATATAAACCCACTACCCACATCAAGTATAACCCATCTCATCCCTATAAAGATTGGAAGTCACTGATGAAAGGGTTGTTTTGATTGATAATTAAAAAGAGTAGATGATTTCCCTTACAGGATAGCTCAGGTTGTTTGATTGAATAACTAAAACGGCCTCTAGTCAGCAGGATAGCTCAAGAGGAGAAATGATTTTCCTTGTTCAGACCAAGACCAAAAAGGACATGGGATGGGCTGAAGCTGAAGTAGTAAGGAATTATTTAAACACCAACAATTTAACAATAGATATGGCATTAAATAGAATGGAATGACAAATTGGATTCCATATAATTGAAATAAGGCTTGAATAATGATGATAATGACCCTTAGGCTCAGTTTGGAAGACGTATAATACAAATATGTACAGTGCAAAATCTTATATTTTGTATTGCTTTGTATGTATTTGTACTGTACATATTTGTATTTGTATTCTTTACAAATTGAGCCTTACATATTTTTATGATACCATCTGTCCTTTGACTTAGGCCTCGTGTGATAACACTTTTCAAAGGTTTGGTGTATGAAAAACTTGTTTTTCAAACATCAGACTCGTTTGGTGTTGCATCTGAAAACCGATCTGAAATCTTTTTTTAGATATGAAATTTTAAGTTAGTAGCCTGGCACTTGTGTGTTCAGACGTAATTGAGAGGTGTATAAAAGACATAAATGCCCTTAAAGAAATTTTGATATTACATGTTTTTGTCCCTCATGTAACTCAAATCGAACCCCACTACGACCTACGAATCTCCACCACCACCACCGCCGCCGCTGCACTCTCTGTCTCTCTTTCTCTCTCCTATATTCCTGCCACCGCCGCTGCAACTTGTAGCGGTAGCGGTTCCTTCTCTCTCGCTCTTGCTCTTTCTCTCCCCCCTTTCTTCCCGTCACCGTCGCTGCAAATTGAAGCGGCGGTGGTTCCTTCTATCTCTCTAGCTCTCGCTTTCTCTCTCTCTCTCTCTCTCTCTCTCTCTCCCCCATCTTCCCACCACCATCGGTGGCGGTTCCTTGTTTCTCTCTCGCTCTCTCTCTCTCTCTCTCCTATCTTCTTGCCACCACCACCGTTGCAGCGGCAGTTCGATGAGTAGAAATAATAATATTATTATTAATTATAAATTATTTTGATATCTTTATTAAACATTAATTATTTTTAATTTTTTATTAATTATTATTATTATTTAATAATTATTTTTTATTAAACATTACTAATTATTAGTTTTTATTAAATAGTAATTTTTAATTATTTCATTAATTTTTAAAAATTATTTTATTTTTATTTGTGTAAATTATCAATTGTTAATTATTTTAATATTTTTATAGTCATTAATTTTTTTTTAATTTTAATCATTTTATTTATTAATTTATTATTTTTTAGTTGTATTATTTCAATGTTATTTTGATGTTGAAAATTATTTTTATGAGATAATGCAAATTGAACTCGACATTTACAAATAGTATGTTCTAGGGGTAAAATAGTAAATCAATAAATTTCAAATGGTAAAGGGTTGATCCAACACAAACAAACTTATGGGTTCAAAGCGTCTAAAAATTAGAAAAGCATCTATGCCTCTTTTCAGATTTCAGACACTTAATATCTTTTTAACTTTTTAGATCTGAATTTCCATATTTATCAAACGCGACCTTAGTTTTTCAAAAATCCCAACTCATATACAATTTGTGCTTTAAAATGGTTATTTTCATCATTTTGATATTTGTTGCTACCAATCCCATTAATGGATCAAAGGGCAAAGTATGTCCAGGGGTGTCTTTGTCACAAAACAAAATTCAGGGGGATTAAGTGTTACCACCTCTTAAGTACAAGGTTGTTATATATAATTTCCCAAAAAAAGTTCGAATTTCCAAAGAGAAACCAATAGTCAAATGACCACTTTTAATATTGGGAAAATTTATGATGCCAAAAAGGTATGATACCGGAAAGGCTTTGACCAATCACAACCCCTTGTGAATTTGGATGAAAATGAATTCTGATTGGTTACTGGTTTTATGATTCTGATTGACTGCTTGTAAGTTTTTCTAGCATCATGCCTTTCCGGTATTATAGTTGAACCCTTTGACATTAATGTGGATTCACTCGTATGTTCTAGTGAGTGTACAAATAATGAAATACAAATGTCCAAAATGGTATATGGAGAGGAAATTGGATTTTGATGCAGCACGATCCGGGCACTCCTAGCTGGCTGCTGACTGGCTCTTGGTTGGCAACGGACGACACCTGAGAAGATGAAATGAAGGATTCCCGGGGATTTTACCTAGTGGGAATACTTTGATGCTTAAGTTAGTATTGCGTACAGGAAGCAAAAGGAGAACGAAAGCTAAGAGTGCAGGTCGCGCTTTATCACTATATTCGAGAGATTAGAGATCTCAGAAAAAGAGAGTTTCCTTTCTTCCCTGAGGGCTTTTATAGTGGCGCTCTTATGAGATCGGGCATAACCGCCACAGGGCCCCTGCCACAGCCGTTACCTGCCAGGGCTGCGCAGGTGGCCGTAGGGACGTACTCCTTGCCCGGGTGAGTGACACGCCTCCGCCTGCTGAGGGACGTGGGTGCAAACTGTTGAAAGGACAAGGACTACGCCGTCAGTAAGGGATGTGGTGCAGTCTGACTGGTACGGCTTGTTAGATAGAAGCTTCCTGAGGAATGCTCGTGCAGCCCATTCGCGAGCTACTTTGCTGCGAGCTCGGAATACTTCAGGAGTGTCCTTAGTAGAATTAGTCCTCGGGATGACTTGTCTGTTTGGGAGCTTGGGCGAGCCGGTTTTCTTAGCTCACAAGTTAAAGTTGCCTCGGAATATCCCTTTTGTGGTAGATCGGGGAACCCGGAGCTCGCGTTGTTGCGAGCTCCTCCTTTGGCGCGCTACGGTGTAGCGAGCTGCCTTATGGACCCATTACTTAGTTGTACTGGACCACAATGCTGAGTTGTTGCTTACGCTGAGTTAGTGTCCATGTGTCGCCATTTCATAGGTCGAGTCAAATCATCCTTCATCAATTGCCCCCCACTCCTCAGGCTAAAAGTATTGCCTTAGCGCCGGGAGTTTATGAAGCGCGATGGACTGATTTGACTAAAATTCAAACTTGATTGACTATCCCCATTAAATGCATTTGCAGGAATCAAGAGATCTTCTGACTTCTCTGACTTTTTGGGTTCCGAAAACGTGCTGAGGTGGCCTTTGATTCCGAATGTCGTGCGGCTGCGACTACCTTAATCGTGGAAGATGTGCCACCAATCGCCTTCGGTTTTCAGAAGGCATGTAGTCAGGGCGCCCACGGACCGTTGGATCTGCTTTGATCCGGGCCGTCAGTTTGAAAAGACGGGGACTATAAATAGGGAGCCCCCTCGGGCCCTATCCTCTTTCACGCCATCTTGCTGTCTTTGGGTTCTGAGGTCGCGTACTTCGCCTAGTCTACTCGAGTTCCTCAGTCTGCTCCGTTCCGTCTACTCTGGTGAGTCCCAATCGCCGTCAGCCATGTCTGGGTACCCACGCCATACCTATCACAGGGGCGATATCCGGGATGATGATGCTCCTTTGAGATTGGGAGGAGCCTGGGAGCAGATCACGGAGGCTCGGGAGGCCTCTGGCGACATGGTGTCTACTTCTATGGGGAGGGAGCCTGATACCTTTCGCCCTTCCTTAATGACAGCGGAGAGACTCAGGTCTCTGATCCGCTACTTTCGCCTCCCTGGGGACCTGGTTTACAGCCTCCCTACTGGCAACTTCCCCTGAGAGCATGGTCCCAACGATATAGTAATCTTTCAAGAACAGCTCGAGGCTGGCTTGCGTCTCCCCCTGCACCCCTTGATAGTGGAGGTGCTAAATCACTTCAACATCACTATTGACCAGCTTCATCCCAACGCTGTTTGAAACATGGTTGGGACTATATCCCTGTGTCACGAGTATTGCCTTCCTTTGGACCTTGATATTTTTGTTTCTATCCTTTGTATAAAGAACGCTGCTCCTGGGGTTCCTCCGGAGAGGCGCTTTTATTACCTCTCTCCCCGTTGCG